GTTTCGGCCGTTGTACGCTCTGGCCTTCATGTGATTGGAATTTTGAACTGAACTCTTTATTTTGTCCACCTGTGTAGATTGTTCTAGTTCCACGTATCATGCCTCTTCCGGACATCTCAGTTATTTTCGTTTTAATTCAACTCTTCAAGATTTTGGTTCACAAAACCTCAGTCACTTTCGAACCACCATAACGTAGAATGATTTGCCTTTCTGTAAATTGGGGACTCTGCAAAAGTGTGCTGAACAAGAGCAAACCCACAATACATCCTTTATTCAATCAATTTGAGACCCTGACCCCTTCAGCTGATAAGGCTGAATGCTTTGCTCGTAAATTCTCACCCAATTCAACGCTTGACTCATCTGGTGTACCCACAGCTGATGTTCCCCCTAGAACTGAGGCTCTACTGAGTGAGATGCATATTACCCCAACGTTGGTATTTGACATCATCTCTAAATTAGACCCCATAAGGCGGTGGGGATGGGATACCGGCCATTGTCATGAAGAAGTGTGCCTCTGAACTGGCTCCTGTCCTCTCTAAACTTAATACAACCACTGCTTCAGTGACTCTTGCTTTCAAGGCTGTTGAAAGTTCTTATCTGTTGTAACTTCTTTAAGAACACTGGTGACCCTTCTGACCCGTCTAACTATCGTCCTATCAGTTTTTTACCACTCTTCGATAAAGTCTTCGAGGCTTTGTTCAACGCCGAAGTGGTTAAGCACCTTACTTCACATAATCTGTTCTCCGACAAGCAATATGGTTTCAGCTTTGCCCGATCTACTGCTAACGTGTTCACGGCCTAAATTGAATTAGTATATGAAGCACTTAACAATAATGGAGAAGCTCGAGCCGTGGCTCTACATATCTCTAAAGCGTTTGATCGGGTTTGGGGTGTTGGTCTTCTTCGTAAACTTCAGGGATACGGTATTACAGGACGATTATTTGACTTAATGCAATCATTCCTGTTAAACCGTGAAATGAAGGTCATCCTAAACGGATTCTCTATCGGCTCCTTTATCACGAACGCTGGTGTCCCCTAAGGCTCTATCTTGGTCCCTATACTCTTCCTGATCTTCATCAATGACCTTCCCGATGTCACCAGTTCCCTAGTAGGCATCTACGCGGACGACACTACTATTTACTCCTGCCTCAATAGTAAATCTAGTATCATTGACAAAACTAACCTGGCTGCTGATCTCGAAAAGGACCTCCACTCTGTGGTTGACTGGAGCAGGAAATGGCTTGTAAACTTTAATGCCTCCAAAACGAAACTGCTCTCTTTTACCGACGGCAAAGAACCTTCCCTGCCTCCCATCAGATTCAAAATTCCCTGAGATCGCCTCAGTACACCGGCTTGTTTTCACGCTGTTCACTGACATGAGGTGGAATAAATACATTGAATCAATAGCTTCATCTATCGCAAGGAAAGCTGGTTCTCTATGGCATCTCAGAGAGTTTTTCTCGTCTGAGTCCAACCTTCAAATCTATAAATCAACCATTCATTCATGGAATGTTGCTGCCGTAAAATGAACTGGTGCCCCCGCTGTAGATCTCTAGGTCCTCGACAAAATCCAGAGACGAATATGCAATGTGATAGGTCCTGATCTGGCATCTAGTCTACAGTCGCTTTCTCACAGACATGCCGTGGCTTCCCTCTGTCTCTTCACCAAGTTTTTTCACGGTAACTGTTCTGACAAGCTAGTTTCGCTTGTTCCAAGGTTTGCATTATTGTCCCTTCCTTTCTCTGTCAAAATGGTTGAATGTAACTGGCTATTCTACTCAAACAGCTTATTCTCTCGCACTTCCCGTTGTGGAACTCCCCTCCTCCTTACTTGCTTCCCCGATGACTATAATCTTCAAATATTCAAGTGTAATGTCAATCGACATCTGTCACTCTGAGCTTGTTCCCGGACCTCTGTATCCTTTCCTCTTCTTCTCAATCCTCTGTAACCCCTCGTATGCTAGTGGTACTCCCCGTCTTGCTTGGGGTGAATTGAATATATATATATATATATATATATATATATATATATATATATATATATATATATATATATATATATATATATATATATATATATATATATATATATATATATTAAAGTATATAATTGGTGTATACGGAATGAATTCCAAATATATACCATTTATATACCATTATATATATGGTATATACCATTTATATACCATTATATATATGGTATATACCATTTATATACCATTATATATATGGTGTATACGGAATGAATTCCAAGTATATACCATTTATTTTATGAAAAACCATTTATTTTACATTCAACATCATCAGTTGATAAGACACCGGAGGTGTTGAAACAAAATGGCTATTTTTGTAGTGATTTTATAACATATTTATGTTATAATTTTTTAAATAAATAATTATATATATAAGACGAAAGGAAAACACCATACTGATGCATATTTAAATCCAATCTAAGCTTTCAGCTTTACAAAAGCCATTATCGAAGATGACAATTTCAATAAATCAAACAACAACGGACGAAACAACAATGATAGTCCGCCCTTGCTGGATGAATTTACTTGGAATTTTCATGCAGCAAGGGCGGACTATCATTGTTATTTCGTCCGTTGCTGTTTGATTTATTGAAATTGTCATCTTCGATAATAGCTTGTGTAAAGCCGAAAGCTTAGATTGGATTTAAACAGCCGTAAGTTCTATGCTAACTATTTCAACTCTCGCACTTCTCACTTCTGGGACGTTTGTAATTTAACATATGAGCAGCTTCAATCCGTGTGCCTTTCCCGACCTTTTTTTCAGAATCTCGCGCGAACTCATATCTGGCTGAAATTGAATTGAGATTTCTTGTTCAGTTTCTCTCTGTATTGAGGGGAATGTCTCATTTGGTGAGCATTTTTGCAGCTCATGGAAAGTAAACCAGGTTCAGAAAGATGTAAATTCAACCTAACTGTATTCATTCAATAGATTAACTTGTTTGGAATATTTATATATTGTGTTAAGGAAATATTAGGCATTAGTATGTATGTATAGCTGGCCATTCGTATTTGTGGATACCCGTCTACTAAGACGGCTAGCCAAGCGCATTTGTGTTTGCTCACCACCCACAGAGCCCATCTGTAGTTTATACTGCAACTATGTTGAGCAGACCTTAGTTACGGTAACTGGGAAAGAGCGTGTTATCTAGCGTGATCATCAATTTGAAGAAGGCCAGCACGCTCAATCCCTCGGCCACGATGACTTGTGACTTCGTGCTAGCACAGCTATTGACGACACCAAAAGCTTCCGTCTAACCAATTTCACTCACTTCTCCTGGGTCAACCTGCGGTATGGTTTCCTGGCACTTTCCAAATGTACCGCACGCTGGGATTGACCCCTCCAGTCCGATAACATCAGGAAGTCTCCTTCCTAACAAATCGAGCATGGTGAGATTCGAACACGGGTC